ACCGACACCCCTTCTGGTAACTTGCAGCTTAGCCGTCCTCGCGCTCGCTTGCCACTCTCCCCTCCTCACCCTGTTCCGCGCGCGCGTCAACGTGCTCCATCCTGCCATCTTCCTCCGACACTCTCTAATTTATCCATTCGCCCCGTTCTAGCCACTGCACTGCCGGCCTTCCCCTCTCCCTCGCTCGTACCCCGCGCAGTCTAGCTATCGCGCGCGGCGCGCAATAACTACCCCCGTGACTCTCGAAGCGTGACTCCGAACCGTCCTTTCTCTCTATCTTACTCCTCGCCGCTCCGTTCTCCCTCTTTCTTGCCCCTCTGTCGCACCCCTCGCGCTCCTACCCTCGCGCTCCTACCCTCTCGCCTTCGTATCGTCGCGTATGAGCGAACAAACGCGCGAGTATACATATGTGAGCCGCGAGCTAAGTGTGTACGTTTACGCGTGTGCGAGAACGAGTTTCTCCTCCGTCCGTGTGACCTGCGGTTTCTCCGGCGTTTTCCTACCCTTAGTATAGCGCGAGCACAGTGCATCCATCGGCCGCGGCCCGTCACTCGCCCGTCACCGCGAAGCGTATCGCAGGACACGAGGGTGCTCGCTCTCTTTCTAATGTGAACGCGCAACCGAACGCGTTGTCAGTACGCGCCGACGCTCTGACGACACGCGCGCGAGTCGAAATTCCGACGCGACGCAACGCAACGCAACGCAACGCAACGCGGATACAGCGTCGTCGGACTCGCACGGACCGATACGATATTTCTTACCAATTGCGAACTCTCCATCCGAACGGCTAGACATACGTCTTCGAGTTCTTTCCGAGTTTCTCGTGTCCTCGACGAAAATCATCGTGTGAAAATTGCGGTTTCGGTTTCTCCAATCCAGAAGAATCCATAAATTGCGGGCGTCACGATTAACAACTCTCCCGCGATGACGACCGATACGATGTCATCGGTTTTGTGAGGAGTGATCGGCAATCAGTGAAAGTGACTCGAGAAAATTTAAGTGACGACACGATAGGGCATCTCGTCTCGGTGTTACTCACGCGGGAACGTTTTACGCTTACGCGGGTGGACGGTGAAGAGCGGAAAGCGAAAAGGAGAGGAGAAGTTACGTATCAGGCTCTGGAACGGACATGTAGTGGTGAAAAAGGAGAGAGTAAGAGAGAAAGAGGGAGAGAGGTGAAGATAGAAAGAGGGGGGTGTGGTAGGTGGCGGAAGGACGATAGGGGGAGAGGGCGACTCCGCGAAGGGTGGGCCGTCCAAGTGTCTTGTCTCCTATCATCCTGTCGTCCAGGGTATCGCTTACGAATGTCGCGCGATCGAGCGATCCGTCTGCGATCCACGACGACGCGCGAGGACGTCCTGGCGACGGTCGCGCATCGACTACCGATGAGTCGTGCGATCAACCTCGTCTGAGTCAACGACAGCAACGCGCTCCACGTACCTGTGTGTGACATCCTGATGTGCGATTGTCCGGGGTGGACAATCGCCGGGTCGCGTCGCGCAAAACGACGCGGGATATCGCTTAACCACCGACCAGTTGACGTCGGATATCCCCTAATATAAACGAGTACCGAAGCGTACTCGACGACGCGCGGCTATCATCGGGAACGAAAGCTCCGACCTTGTTCGAAAAGTCGTATCGGGCTAGCTGGGCTAGCCACGGAAGAAGTGCCGCAGCGAGGAATCTCCCCCGACGGGCCGGCTCGAAGGATGTCCGGCGAAACGGAGATCGAAGTGTCGGTTGTGTCGGAAGAGGATCTGGAGCTGGAGGGCTCCAGGAGTAGCTCGACACCGGCGGAGTTGCTATTGCAGGAGAAGAACGGCAAGTCTGGCTGCGGCCTGAGTAATCACCACCACTCCTTCAGCTTTGACACCGTGAGCAAGCCGGCGCTCAGGCCTGCCTGCAATCCGCAGTACACGTCCTTCAGTATCTCCAACATCCTTGGCAGACCGGAATCGCCGCCCGTTGATTCGACGACTTCCACGGGATCTGGCGAGAGACAGTCGTCGGACGTCGACCGGACGTCGCCGTTACCGCCAGCAAACTCGCAGAACTCGCAGAGAATCCCGCCGTCGTGCGGCAGCCCCGGAAGGATCTCATCCTCGCCCACATCCTTGAGATTGTCCGGCGGTCAACGCGGCGGATTGTCTGCAGCCGGTCACACCGGACTGGAGCCCAGAGCGAATTCCACGGGTATCGGTATCGGATGTGCTACCAGTGCTACCAGTCCAGCCGCGACCTTTTCGCCGCCCGGCGATGCCTCTACCAATCCACTACTAGGACATCAGGCGTCGGCGGATCTCGCGATGCTATCGAGGTACGTTGCTTTCGGTTTTATTAGATGACGAATTTCTAATTTCGTTACGTTTCTAATTTTGACAAATTTTATGAGAAAGAGCTGTAAATATATACGAAACTCTTGGACGATGGAGTATCTAAATCAGTTTCATAAAACGGTCGCTTTTGTACACCAAACTTTATCATTCAATCAATATTTATAATGTTAAATATTTCTCATTAGCACAATTTGCGAAAAGATGTCTTGTAATTATTAATTTAGGTACGGTAAGAGCAAACAAGATTATTGTTCTCGATATTGCTATAATTATGAAAATTAGTGGAGCATTTAACATCACAATTGTACTCATCAATTGCTCGAAAATGTACAGTTCGAAAATGTACAGTTTCGTCATAGTACAGCCATGTTTTTGTTATGTAATATCTATAAAATTATAAAGAATCGAAGTGACGAATTGACTTCCGTCAATTGAGAATAACTTCTGCATTATTTACGTACGTGGAGAATATTTTTAAACTGAATACAAAATTTAAATGACGTTATGCGTCAATGAATTTTACATGTCGCGTTTTGGGAAATAAAAGATAGACGATATATATCGAATGATGTCACACAGGTTTATACGAATGTAATTTCGCTAAAGATGCCTGTTTTCTATAAGAAAGAAAAATTGCCTGCATTTTCTCCTGACGCTTCAATTTTCAACATCGCATATTTTAATATTTACATTTTTCCATATCTTGCTAAACAAAACAGAAATGTGCATTTAAGCTTAGATGAAGAATAAGCCTCTTTTTTCGACTATTTGTATTTTGTGACTCTTCAAGTTTTTTCATCTTAATCGATTTTTGAAACCTTAAAAGCTATTGACGTATCAAGAACTGTCAAAATAATTAGTCTTCTTTTTCTTTTAATTTCAAACGACCGCAATTTCTATGACATCCTGTAAGTATATATCATAGTATAAGCGCAAGTAGCCTCTCGGTAAGAAACTTATGAAAGTGAAACCTTGCGTTTCTAAATTCGGTCTTGAAAACGATTAGCAGCGGAAGATTTGCGTCATTCCCAAGAATTTGTACTTTATTTCTACGAACGCTTTTTCGCGAAAAATAGCACAACTGATTTCATTAATAATGCGATACACATCGCAAGTATACTTTACATCGTAAACACGTGTATAGCGCGCATCATTTATTGGTATACACAATGCATACAGATACAATACCGTTACATTAAACTCAGTCAGATGCGGCAATGTGACCTTCGATTTTATAGGTTGGTGCCGCCAAAATAACTGGCCGAAATTCGAACCTTTATACTGATCGGCGATCGCCATTCATTTCACCGCATAGAACGGGGGGTACGTCAGTTACCCGAGTAAAATACATAAAACATGTTGATTTGTATTTATATAATATAATTTAACTTGTATTTACAATACGTGATTAGCGAAATTCCTAACGGGCATCTGTGAAAGAAAAAAAAAAAGGAGAGGAAAAGAGTCCTTCTGCATAATTTAACGATTTAAACGCCATCGTTTAAACGGCTAATTCAATGCCGTTGCCATTTAATATTAATGCAAAAGTGTCGGTAAATGGAGTTGCTAATACTTGCTAATGATTAATTAATTCGTAACATCGTCGTTATTCATATTCGCCGCTCGCGTAATTGGCGGAATTGTTGAATAAATTAAGACCGCGCCCTCTCTCAGGCAATTAGAAACTCCGCCGCGCTAGCGTTTTCCACGATAAAAACACGCATTCGCAAAGCTTTGACCCGAGAGATTCGACAACACCATTGCGATAGATTAATATCCGACTCTTCACCACCGTTATTCGCATAATTATACACAAACGCGTGTACGAATGCACGATGGGACGCGTTTCGCATTAGCGATGTATAAATTGCATTAACTGCATCACGCGCGTTAATAAGAGCATTCATTTAATAAAAATCGAGGGAGCCTTAATATTCGCAATATGCAACGTTGTGATTATTGTTAAAAAAAAACTTAGGAATTATAATTAAAGAAAATATATTTTTACGAATTATAATTTCAAAATTATAGCTCTCCCCTTCTCTCTCTCTCTCTCTCTCTCAATTTCGATTAATTTAAGAAGCTCTTCCTCAATTATACAAAAATATGTAAGAAAGTATCTTTTCTAGTAAAAGGTTAATATCCTGGAAATATCTCAATAATAAAACTTTATTTTTGATTAATTTCTCGTCGACTTTTAACAAAAACTTTATTAAGACTTGCTTTTTATCAAGGAGCTTAAAAATAAAGCTTAAAATTGAGAATTAAGTCAGAACGAGTTTTCTCCTCGACATCTTTGACCGAAAGAAAAATCAACTCCAAATTGTTCAAATGAAGCTCGAGATATTTTTCGGTTGATGCGGAACACCGTGTTTCACGACCCAATGTCCGCACCCGTCAACTTGGATTACCGGGCGGAAAGGGATGTATCCAGGGTCTTCGTAGCCGTCGCGTCGTCGACCGAAGATTTTTGTAGGCGTGAGCTCGCCCGGATCAAGATACACGACATATCACGGGGGTGGCGAAACGGTAAGGGTAACGACAACGAGCGAGCGCGTGCGGTGAGGATTATATTATGTGGGAATGGACCGACGAGGGGACCGTAATGGGCCTATTAGGCTGTCTCATTTAATAACAACCGTAGCAACAACACCACCCTCTTACATTACTTACGTTATTTAGGAGGACCCCCGCATGCTATCGGATATATCTACGAGGAATCTGAGCACGGTACTGTGCCCGCCGTAAGGGGCAGGAGAGAGAGAGAGAGAGAGAGAGTTCGAGGGTTCGAGATGATTTTATCAGATTTACACCCCCTCCTCGATTGACGACCCACCTCCTCCCCCTCCCTCTGTTCTCGTTCTCGTCCCCGTTCGCGCCCTTTCTCCGCGTCCTCGCCATGCTTGGCTGCCGACACGACGGCTACGATTGCTTGTTTTCCACCCGTTTACCATTTGATTAAGTTCCACTCGTATGCACCGTTGGGGTACACTTCGCTAACAGAGAAAAGCCGCGTCGAGTGGGGCCCGTCACGCAAACGAACTTATCGCGGCAGATAAATGGTACCTAAACTGTAATAAACAGATTTTCTTTTCAAAAGTACGTAGATAATTCCATTTTCACTGAGAAATGGGAATTTTGGCATCGTCTTTATGGCCGGTAAAACTCTTCGAAGTGTACGTGAAATATTTCTGATTTGTAAACACCTTTGTCTTTATCAGATTTATAAAGAATTTATTAATTAATATGCAATTGAACATTAATTCATTTAAAATTGAATAAATTGGATTTTTGCAAAGTTTTTGTTGTACATCCATGATACGTGTGCGATGATGTGTATAAAATAATCGAATTGTTTTCTTCTTTAAATAACGATGAGGAATGCACAAATCACACACAAATGCAACTTGCAAACGCAAAAAGGATACAATGACGGTGCAAATTTCCTGGTAATGCACGGCATAATTCACACATCACAAAGAGTTACGAAAGAGGCGCGTCTCGCTTGTAATAATCACTCCGCGGCGATACGTAAAATTACAAATGCGTATATATATATATATATATATATATTCCGTTCGGATCCATTTACGCGTTTAAATGCAATTCAACAAAAATTCGCGTGATGGTATAGAATTACGCGATGATCGCGCGCGTTTGCGCAATTTTCACACATACATACATAAAACGCGCGCGCGTGTCCAGGGCATAATTGTGCGAGCACGCTAATTAACGTCACGAGCAACTGGCAACCGAAATTTGTTATCGAAACGCGCGCATCGATAAGAGAAGGGGACGGCAAAAAATCAATTAGGCGTAGAGTGCATAATGGATGCGGATGAAACGCCGTACACGTATAGTCCAAGGTTAAGGAGTCTAAGATTCCCTCGAGAAACAGGCTACCTATCCCGCGGCCCATTTACTGCCGAGTGAGCAGCCCTTACGTCTCTTCCGGGAGGAAGTGCGCAAGTTCTAGGCTCGATTTATTATTAAATCGCCGCTCTACCAGCCTGAGATTCTCGTTCGCCAAGGTCGTGAAGAGAGAAGTTGGCGCCATGCGATCTCAGCAGAGCACTATCCATCTTCTATATATATGTATACATATATATATATATATATATATATATATATATATAACTTAACTGATCAAATAATAATATTTCTCTACAAGGGAGTAAGTACTCGCACAGGGATTTACGCGCTGGATACGCCCGGTATAACATGCGCGCTTTATGAAATTGTAACAATCGCATCCGACTCCTCTTTAATGACTTGAAGATCTTCGTATCTTCATAATTGACACGTATACATCATATTCTGAATAAATCTTATTAAAGATGCCATGCTTTAAATTAATTAAAATTGTAATTTTTAGTTTTACCAAAGCATATTTGAGCTACGTATATATCTGTTATAATTTAAAGTTAGTTTTGCGATTACACTGTGAAGAACACAACCTAAAGTTGAGGTCAAAACATTTGTAGATTCTAACTTTTAATTATGTTAATATAATTTTGAATTTGTTGTACAAACACTTAATTTAGCTCACAGTCTCCTTTCTTACCTTATTTGAATTTTAATTTGCTAAATTTTTTTATATTTAATTAAATTTTTATATTTAATTAAAATTGTTACGTACATGAAATTCGGCTAAAGGAAACGGCTTATGTATTTATTCTGAAAAATTACGTTGGGTAAAAAAGTAACTGGATTTCATCGCAAGCCCTATATTTAGAAGAATTAATTATCTCTTCACGCGCGTCCATCTTGTTCGTTCTCAATACGTTTCGAATTCGTTCGCGCGGTCCATTGATTCTGGCGCGGAGTATCGTGAAAATATTTTTTTTTCGATTTGCTCGCGATTTCACGAAGGCTTACATTCAAAAACGTTACCGCGAACACAGTAGAACCGCGAACAGAAGATCCGTCTGATATAATCCGCGACAGAGACCGCCTCGTTAATTACAGCACTGATGAAATG